TACTTGTTTCAAGTCAGATTTATGTGATTTTAATTACTCGATCTAAAAAAAATAATGGATTTTCTTGTTGGTGTTTTTTAAACGTAGAAGATGAATGGTTTAAAGTTTGGAATCACTGAAAACACGTGGAAAAATAAGTTTTCTGCAAATAATATTCTCCGGTAGAGTGTGAGTTTAATTCAGGATTTTTTATTCTTAATGTAAACCCCGCCATACGTTATGTAGGGGTTGAAGTAGATTGATTTGTGTTTACTTCGTAATAACTCCTTAATATATCTAAAAATTGAAACCTAAGCCAAACAGCCTCCAAAAATGTTTTTCCCCTTCTGTTAAAAGCTACGAACCGAAATGTTTTCTGCCAGTTTCCCGTACATTGCGCCAGCGTGGCCATTGTGCGTGTATATGTGCGCCAGGCAATATATATATATATATATTATTTTAAAGTGCGCAAGACAGTGGTTTCGTATAACAGGTGAGATGAATATGTAGGACACAACGGCTATATACTAACCGATGAAGATCAAGCTGACGTATGTCTCTGTTGTCTCTGTCAGACTGTCTGTCCCTGCCGGTCGAATTTTTGTGTAAGGGCATGAACGCATAATTTTCTAATTTTCCATTCTTCATTTCGTGTTCTGCACTGCTTGCGATGTGACATCAAGGGAGTGAGGGACAAAGATGAACTACCGCCGAGCGCTCCGATTCACTCAAATGAATGCCACTTTCTGCTAATTTTCAGTGTAGTTCTAATCTTGCTTGCTTGATGATCTTGTGTTTTTGTCAAAAACAATCCCATACACATGAAAAGGCTCAAATTATGGCAAACGCATTGTTTTTTTAGGGAGTGCTTTGGTATTGGAGGAAATTTTACGAAAAAATTACATATCAAGGACAGAACACAGGCAGCAGATCTTCCGCCAAAGACGTGCTATGTCCGCGTTTTGGCCTTTATGTGTAATTATGTCGTAAAATTGCCTAGTCAAGCGGTGAACATAATTATATATTTGTTCTGCGCAGCTTCGATTTAAATTATTCAGTAAAATATAAATCCCGCTTTCAATCATGATTTGTATCATCTTGATTTTTATTCTCCACCCTGAAGGGAAGCTTGAGCGTGCATAGCTTTGATCGACGCTTAAAGCCGGGGTCTCATTGATGATACATCATACAAAAGACGGTGTGTAAACAAGAGCCACCGCGATATCCGTGGTTCGAGTGCCGCGTGCGCAAGTCTCTCTCCTTGAACTCGTTACCATGCGGCATTGGAAGCACGAATCTCGCGCGGTGTCTTGCCTTCAAATCTATATGCAGGCTGTCTTTTGTATGATGTCCAATGCCCGTGTCCCACTTGAGCAACAGACAGAAACAAACGACAGCGACATGCCTCAAACCAGTCTTTCGTGATTTGAGAGGCTTTGTAGAATAAAGAAGGCTATATGTTCAAACACGAGCATCATGCACGCGAGGATGTCTTCGGCAGGCTTGTAACCGCTCGTGCTTACTTGACAAGCACTGAATGACTAAACGCCTGCCAGAGGTACCATTGCGAGCAGGCTGCATGGGTTTGAGGCTTGTCGCTGTCTTTTGTTTCTGTCTGTCGCTCTAGTGGGACACGGGCATAAGCAGCGTGACCCCGGCTTAAGGTGCAAGAGACCACGGGCGCCTATAAACGTCGTCTGCATACTTCCGTACATTGTCGCCAAATATTCGATGGAAGGGCGCCTTACCGCAGCCGCTAGCCTTGTACCTGCTCCACGAGAAGTAACTTTAGTGCACTAGTACGCTTCTCACGCGCTTAAAGCCTTTCTGAAAATTACTGATTTAGTGGTTTTCGACGACGCTCAGCAAGTTTCTAATTTGAACCATATATCTATCTTCATTAATTAAAAAGTTAATTAACGAATTTTAATTAATTAGCCGACTGATCGTTACGATTAGCCCCCTACACTATGTCCCCCTGGACATGTAATTTACCTGCACAAACCGGATAAGTGTAACTTTCACGACTTTGTTTTAACAATTCTGTTAGGTCTAAAAAAAAACATATATATATATATATATATATATATATATATATATATATATATATATATATATATATATATATATATATATATATATATATATATACATATTAGCGCCGATTGGTGGCTCCGCCGATATTGTATAGCGCGATGTTCCGGTAAGCTGACAGGGATCAGAAACTATGACTAACGTATTGCTCACTGTCCGTCGGCTGCGATACACACGATAGATGAAATGTTCTGCCTGAGAACTATACTGTTTTGTCGCCCTCTTTCCATCATCAGTCCTGCCAACTGTTTATTTCCGGTAATGTATATATCGTTGTTTTTGTTGACTGGTTTTGGGCCTATACCTTCCCTAAGGCCCTTTAGGCATAAAAATCGTTAAAAAAAAGGAGAAATAGCAGGAGATCAAATTATCAGCACCGGACTGATATCTTTTTTCTTTGTGTGTTTCTTTCGTCAGATCCGTTGGAGGAATCGGAGAGACGCACTTCACAGGGCTTTGTGTGCTGACCGTGGTGCTAGTGGCATCTTTTGGAATGGCACTCCTGAGTGAGCGCATCATCGTGACATATTGATGTTGTAGAAGTTGTACGGTGCATAAAGCGTGCCCCCCCGACTGATGTGTTTGACATCCACCCACGGAATGGAGGATCCGACAAAATGCAGCAAAATATGTCACGTGGACAACCCGAGGGAGCGTTATAGTGGTGTGCCTAGATTTCAGACTGTTCCGAACTGCTCGATCAGGATCTCGTGGTTTATAGACGGCGTTTGCAGTACAAGGGGTGCCAGGAGGAAAGGATAGCGTCGACCGTCTCGAACCTTTGCTCAGCCTCTCCGTCCGCTATCGCGCGTGGAAAGCGCGTAGAAACGCGTTTCCGTACGTTTCCACGCGCGGAAACGCACGCGTGCGCACTCGAGACCCGTTTATTCAGCAGGCGTCCGCCGTTTACTGCGGAGCGCAAGTTCGTCTGCTTCTTGCACACGGGTTGCGATTCTGTCGGAACGCCAAGCTCTTATTGGCTGATTAAAAAAAATAAAGCCGTTTACATCTTTATGTAACGCCGGATTAGAGCGCAGCTCTTGAGGAGGATGGAAGGGTACTGAGGGATAGGTGACTCCCTGAGGTCACGTGACCTCAAGATGGGGTCACGTGACCGCAGGGGGGTCACGTGACCTCAGAGGAGGTTACGTGAGGTTAACTCATAACCCTCGTGACCGTCGTGAGGGTAACCCTTTTGAGGGTAACTAACCCTGGCAACCCTCGTGAGGGTAACGCTCGTGACCCTCGTGAGAGTAACCCTCGCAACCCTCACGAGGGTAACCCTTGTGACGTCATTATGGGAAACTACCCGTAATGCACCGCGCGGCTACGCCGCTTCTATGCAACGCGTTGCATGCAAGCTTTGCACGCAACGCGTTGACCTCAGGAAAGGTCAACGTGCGTTGCATGCGCGTTGCATGGAACGTTCGGTTACGCCGACACCGCTCAAGCTGGAAACGGGCGCCTAAAAGCTGCGCTCTAATCGCATGCAACGCGCGGTTACGCCGCTTGCTTGCGACGCGTTGCATGCAAGCTTTGCATGCGCAATGCATGCAACGCGCGGTTACGCCGAAGCCGACGGCGACGCCACTCAAGCTGGAAACGGGCGCCTAAGAGCTGCGCTCTAAAAATCAGTGGCTATACTTTAAAGGGATACTACAACGAAATTTCGGCGCTCATTTTTTGGTCTATATGTGTTCAAAGGAGCGGTATCACATCGAAAACACCAATATATTGTTTAAAAAGTCACGAAAAGGAATTTTAAAACGAATTAGACGATTAGCAAAGAGCACCTATACTCGTTTTCACCTTAAGAAAAAAGTGGGTGTGTCCCTCTCGTCGCATGCTTATTGGTCGCATGCCGTCGCACATGTTATTCCGTTCTGCGAAGTAGTTCCGATAAACGTTTGCTCTCTGGAAGCTAGCGTCATTTAAGCTTAAATGAATTTGTTAATCTCAGTAGGATAAATAAAACACCTCCTTAGTACGCGTGTATTCACGTAATTCAACGCCTCACAAGATCTGAGGATCGATGTTCGTAGCCAGCCGGCCAGCCGCTGTTGCTCGCCTTCCAAAATGGCGACTCCAACAACTCTGGCTGATCGGTCCGTGAAGTCAGCACTCTTTCCTGAAGACGTTTTCCCTCGGCTGTACTACAAACGTCACGCAAGTGGAAATGTCCTGTAGAGCCAGACAAGGCAGTGTGTTTTGAACGTTTATTCTTGAATGCGGCGGCAGTACCAAGAAAAAAATGAGGTGGAAGTCGTCAACCTGATTGCCGCCGCAACGGGGATCAGTGTTAGCTCGATCTACGAGATCAAGCGTGGCTTTAAACGTGCCAACGGAGCTGCGAAATCTCCTTCAAAGAAGCGCCCGAAATTCGCTGAGAAAAGGAAGAGGATTTCAAATCACGACGCGTGCACTTTGACGGCCGTGAGAAGCTGCCTGCACAATTTGTTCCGTCGGGGGGAGATTCCAACGTTGAAGAAAATCGCCGCTCGTCTCCAAGAAGACGACGTGCTGCCGTCCTGTTCCGGGTCTACCCTGTATCGCCTGCTGAAGGACATGGGTTTCGAGAAACAGAAACGGAATCGCAACTCCTTCCTAATTGAGAGAGAGGACATCGTTGAGTGGAGGCGGCGGTATTTGAGGGCAATCGGAAAGCACAGAGAACCGCAAGATGAGACTTGGGTGAACGCCGGCCTTACAGTTGACAAGCTGTGAACCCACAGCACCATAAAGTCAGCAAGGCAAGCCTTCATGTCTGAACTGACGACCGGGTTAAAGTTTCCTTCTGGAAAAGGTGAAAGAGTGATTGTCACCCACGGAGGTAGTGACACTGGCTTCGTGTCCGGCTGCCTGGACGTGTTCCTTTGGAAGAAAAAGGGGGACTACCACGATGAAATGGACTCGAACAGGTTTGAAGCATGGTTTCTTCATTTATAGACAACGCACCATACCACAGCAGAAAGGCTGAAGCAGTTCCCACAAGTGCAACAAAGAAGGGCGAGATCCAGCAGTGGCTCTCTTCCAAGAATCTAGACTGGACTGCCACAATGAAGAAAAAAGACCTTCTGAGCATCGTGGCAACGGTGAAGGATCGCTGCACAAAGCACAAAGTTGACGTCATGGCTGCGGACGCCGGACACACAGTGTTGAGGCTCCCACCATACCATTGCGAACTAAATCCCATAGAGTTGATATGGGCACGAGTCAAGCAGGAGGTCGCCTCCAAGAACATCACATTCAAGCCCAATGACGCCGAGCGGCTCTTGAGGGAAGCAGTAGACAACGTAACAGCTGTCCATTGGCATGACTTTGTAGAGCATGGGAAAAGAATGGAGGCGAAGTTTCGAGAATGTGATGTCCCAGAGTCGAACCTCGAGCCAGTGATCATACCCCTCGATGCAAGCGACACGGAGGAGGAGAGTGCAGACGACGACGAAGCTTACGACGAGGATGAGAATGAAGAGGTCTTTGGTGTTCAGCCTTTAAAATGGAATTGACCGTGAACTAATATTCTCCTAGGATATGTTCTCTTCTGAAAGTGGCTAGAACTTTGGACTTTGTTTGTCATACCCCAGAACACAGAGCGGTTCTTTTGAGGACCATTCACATACTGCAAAATCGGATTCCTGACTTCATACAGGCCTAACCTCCAGTGTCATGTTGTTGTCGTGATTCTACCTTTCATTACGTAATAGCCTTGTTCGTGGCTTCTCGAGGTCTTTGAAATCAGTTGTATGTATCCCACTGCACCGTGGATAACCATTACAAAGACTCACCATAAAAAAAAAAAAAAAGTTTGCAGTTGTACTGCACTCGCTAATTTGCTCATCTACAGCAGAGGTGCCAGGCGCCATTTTGCCTTTTTGCTTGCTAAACATATATGCACACAATAACACTTTAAGGGTCGTTTTCATTCAATAAAGAAGACGTAGTGTTGGGCGGCATGCCGAAAGGGCACCATTGTTCTGGAATGTGACCCTGAGCGTAACATTTCACTTGCTCACCTCATGCGAATTCAGTGTTGCTTACACCTCATTTTGAGGTCTAAACATCATGTTCAGCCCAGTCTTTCATTGAGAATGAGATAGCTCCGTTACTGCAGTGAGGAGTTCCCCAGGCGGTTTGTGGGAAAGTAAATTCACAAACTGCCATCCACATGCCTTGGGGTCGCCCTGGCAATAAACGTATCTCTCATTCACCATGCTGTTTCAGATTATAATCGGGATTCTTATCGCCATCCTCACACAGGGCCACTCGGGCAATAAGCAGAAGCTTTGATGGGATCCTGGAAGAACGTATCTCACATCGACCACGCTGTTTCTGCTTATAATCAGGATTTGTACCACCATCCCCACACCACGGAACTATAAGAAAACAGAATTAAAGAATAAAAATTGAAAATCACCACGACACACAAGGAAACCGACTGCCCACTCAATGTATACACATGAACGTCAACGCAATAACGTAAACAGAGGTATATTAGACAGAATAAACTATGCAAACATAGGTTTGTGGCTGGTAGCAGGTCTGATCAATCCCAGTTCATTAAGTTTGCGGCGATGTCGATGATGTCAGCTGATCTTTTTGCTTTAGCGCTCCATGGTTGCCGTTAAAAACTGTAAATACGCGAAAACTGGCACACATTGATTTTTTTTCTCATGGTGTTTTTAGAAAGCCGACGGTATAAACAATGTTAGGTATACAAAGATATGTTTATTAAAGACAGTTTAAAGAGGCGATGCAAAATTGTGCAGAGCATAGGCATGTTAATCTGAAACAAACGCTATTTAACGAGGTATGTTCTAGCTTTTTGCCACTAGAGGATGCTGCAGTGCTAAATTCGTTTTGGTTTCGGTCTCTAGTTGTAGATCCCACCACCTCCCGACGGAGGATGGTGAAGTTTACGCGATATCGCGGCATTTCATTGGTGGAAACCCAGAACACTCCGCCACCAGCCGGACTTGTTTTACTTCGGTTCTTAAGGTGAAAACGAGTATAGTGTATGTCGCTAACGCCTCACTTGTAATGCCCGTCTAGGAACCTTTACAGCTTGTGACGGAGGCTGTCTCGTCTCCGGTCATGACGAGAGAAGAAGGGCAGGAGGAACTCCCCTCTTCCCAAGAATGCCTTTTGTGTGTCGCAGAAGTCGCTACTGTCTGCCTACAAGATTACAGAAGTTTAACCCGTCACTCTATATTCGTACAAAAGCAGCCGCTTCGGTGGCTGGAACGACTAGGCCATCCTCTCGACGTCAGCCTCGCCGTAGCTTCGCTCGTCTTGAGACGACCTACGTCACGAATGCGTTGGATGTCACGTGGTCTCCGCTGGGCCTTCTCCGAGCGCTTGCCAGAGTGGGCCGTTTATAACGAAAAATACAGCCACCAGGCTCAGAATACAAACGTGCGATTGTCATTTACGGATATTGTGGATCACATTCAACCTATTTTTGAATACGACGGGAATATTTCAAATTTTGTTGAAGTATCCTTTTAAAAGGATACCCCATCAAAAAAAAAAAAAAAAAAAAAAACCGAAATCTTTGTTTTTGTTGGGCTTGTTCTCGACAGAATACGTTAGCACTTAGCGCAGAAGCTGCGACTCAGCCATGGATGGGAACCCCCCCCCTCGCAACGGTACGCATACTGCTGTCTTCAGAGAGCCAGTCTGTTCTCCCGGTCGTCGGCGGTTTCGGATGCAACCACCACGGCTTTCCCCGAATGCCGCCAAAGTTACTAAAACCCTCAGTTGGGAAACTCGCCCTTGAAACCTGGGCCTCTGGCGTCCACCGAGACCGAGCTAAATACGATAACAGCGCCACCCCTTAGCGACGAGTTGAAACATGAAAGTTGCTTTATATGGCTACTGCAAGATGGCTCTGCGAGATGGCGCCACCGGCCCTTCCGTAACTCGACGGAACCAGTGAGTGCAGTCGTGCAGTTCACGGAGTGGCCGCTGCAGGAGATATGGCAGCGTTGCGAGCGCCATTCGCTCGGTCCTGGGATAAGGATCGGCGCCACTTTTTCAGAGCAGGCTCTATGGCAGTTTTCCAACTGAGTGGTTTTAGTAACGTTAATCGCCGCTCACGGTGCGCCTACTGTTGTCTTCGAAGAGCCAATCTTTCCTCCCGGGCGTGGGCGGTTTCGCGCAAACGGCGCCGTCGCTGCGCCTTGGTTTTACCTTGTCACGTACGTTGAACCACCTGCACGGCCGCTCGATCCCCTTCTCTCCCGTTCATTCGGTGCGTCATTGGAAGCGTGCCAGAAGACACTTTCTTTGTTACGAGAGAAGTTGAGTGTACGTGACGAGCTACCGAACAGTGCGAAAGAGCACGGGGGGAACCGCACCGCGGCGGCATTACCAAACCAGCCTATAGTCCAAACCACGACCGTCTAAACGAAAGACGACTGCATGCACCAGGGCAGTGAATGCTAACACATTTGATATAAAACATGGCGTCGGAAAGAAAAACGCCGACCAGTTGCGCGAACGGAGTCGAGTCTTCTGATTGGTTGTGACGCGCGTCCACATCTGCCCTGCTCCAGCCTACGTCCACTACGTAAAGGGCGCACGCACTACATTGTCGGACGAAGACAGCACTACAAATGCGGGGGCCATCTCGAGCGTCACGTCATCCACACCGAGTACTATGGATACAATAAAAAAAGGTAAATTTCGTTTGAAATTTTTTTTTCTTTTGAGTGGGGCCATTTTTTGGCTATCTTATCATTGTTCCGTAATCAATAGGATGGCAGTATTAGCTGATGAAAACACAGAGCAACGCGTGTCGTGATAACAAAGACACAGCTCCGAATTTTGAGCGTCATCTAGCTAGGCCAATGTCGGGAACGGGTTGGACACGAGCAGTGCGCCAACCTTCGGCTCGTACTCGTGCCCTCGCTGATTGGACGCGAGCGTCAGCCGAACGCTGACGTGGCGCTCGTATCCAATCCGCACCCGAAATCGACCTTCCTTACGTGACGCAAAAAAAAAAAAAAATCGCCACATACACGGCTTTGTTGTCACAAAAGGTGTGGCGCAGGGGCACAAATAACGATGCAAGAAGGATACGATGAAGCACAGGACGGAATCGTTACCATCATCCTCTTTTTTGCCAAGCTGCCGCGCACCAGTCACCTAGAGTTGTATTTGTCCTTTGTCCCCTTTGTTCCCCTTCTCCAGAGATTATTATCGTCATCCTTGTCCAGCTCGATTGCACCTTTGCATTAATTGCATTAGAATCACAACATTCTGAACGGGATTAAAAAAAAAAGGGAGAGAGATTGGTCGTACTACTAGGTAGGCGATTCAACCGCAGCGCCCCAAGCGGCGAACTTTAGAACTACACTCCTGGGGACAGCAACAACGATGACGCAGCGCTCGGCTGCTGTAGCCGCGAACTCTTCGTCAACGTTCGGCTGGTGCTCGTGTTCTCCATAGTCCGAGGAGGGGCTCTTTTGTAGGCACTCTGACCTGCCTGAACAATGCAGCATGCACCGTGCATGCGACCGGCACCTGCTCAGCACAGAGGCCGAAGTGGGTCAAGTTCGTATCCTCTGACGACAGGTTCCACGAGAGACCCAGCTCGTCGCGTCCCGCCAACGTTTGTCAACACTTTTTACGCTTATTCACGCTTATGTTCCTGCCTACACTCTAGAAAAAAGCCCGCGCGTCTATTTGCGCGCGCAACACTCGGAGAGCCAATCACCGCAACTTACGGTTGCAGCTCAGAGAATGACGATCCGAAACATATGTCTAGACCAAAAAAAAAAAACGCAGTCTGAGTTGTGACATTAAGCAATGCAAGCGTGACGTTTTGCATTGGTTAATGTCACAACTCAGACTGCGTTTTTTGGCCCAAGCATATGGTTTTGCATCGTCATTCGCTGAGCTGCCTCCGTAAGTTGCGGTGATTGGCTCTCCGAGTGTTGCGCGCGCAAATAGACGCACGGGCTTTTTTTATTTTTAGAATATATTTTTTCGATCGGCCAGTGCCGCTACACCATTGGCCGCGGAGCGACAATGAGATGCTCAGGATCGGCCACGCGCCCTGCGTTTCTTAAAATAACTATCAAATAACGCACTGTTTACAACAAAGCATGGGCTTACCCACACCGGGTGTGACACTGCGCAGAAACCAGATTCGCCCGAGGCGAAGCATCTGCGCATGCGCGCTACCGCAGTGCCGTGTCGTCAGACAGTTGAGTTGGTCTAAAACTAAAGTTCCGTGTTTTCGGATAAATCTGATAAACTACGAAAAGCACCCGCCAGTAAATTTTTTTCCGACAATCTAAACCTGTAACAAAAAAAAAAAAAAAAAAAAAAAAGAAATAAAATAAAAAAGAATAGAATTTTAAGGTCACATAGCAAAATAAAAAAACAACAACTTTGTTTTCTGTTTTTTTTTTAAATCTTGGATTATTGACAAAAGGGAGTTTCCCGTCTATCTGGTCAAGGTTCTTTCAGAACAAAGGGCCAATGCATTTCTGTACCGCGA